ATGGAGTGTAGTGGAACACTCCTAAGAAGAAAACGCGATTGGTGAAAAATAAACATTTATTATTGTACTCGTTTTGTTTAACTGTACCAAAAACACTTTCTTGCGCACAACGTTCTTTTCGCGTTGCTGCCATTTTTCATAACGTGCTACTCTCTATGCAATGCCTACTTTCTCCTTCAATAAATATTCGAACATGGATTTATTTCTGATTTATGTGACGGAATAGTAAGGGACATTTAGTGGTGATCATAGTCAATCTGCGACTCAGCCACCACTAAAAGAGCGATCAGCTTGCTTAACAATTTAGATATATTTCATCAAAAAGATATTTTCTACGTTGATTGATATCAACTGAATAATTGCTAAAAATAAAACAGATCACTAGACAGTGAATTAATAAAAATTAGAGTAATAAACACTATAATACTGGTTCAAGGAATTTAGTGAAACATGTTAATCACTAGATTTCAAAATCCTAAACTCCATTCCATCCCAAGTAGCGAATGCATATCAATTTTACGCCTAAACCTCGGTTAGAACAACTATCTCATGTTCACTATCTACATCGTATTAACGCAGAACCAAAAACAAACTTTCATTCGCGCAATATATACTGTTCTTTTTTTTATTGTATAAAGTTGACATGAACATTTAGTTTTCGTATACTGATTTGCTTGTTCTGAAAACTAATCAACAGATGTAACTATATATATATTTAGACCTAACTAATATCAGTAAAAAGATCTCATTCAATTGAAAATTCTAAGTAAATTTTTACTTGTCTTTCATTCCATACAATTTAGAATTATGTCAATTAGGCGAAGAATAGTGAAGGTTGGCTAAACAACAATTTTTTTTTCCAAGCTTAATATTGCATAGATAATGTTCAAATTCGAATAGATGTTTTAATATTCATTTACAGTTTTGAAATATCCATGGAATAAATGTAAGATAGTTAATTCAATTAATATAATTGAAAAACCACAATCAATTAGTTAATTTTGTTGAATTAAAACTTTGAAAAATAGTAAGATGTAATTTTGTAGAAAATATTTACTATAGTTATTGATTGCATCACACATTTTCTTCTTTCCAAAATCGTCTTGATCATTTTTTTCCATTTTTCCTACCTTTTTCGATTGTAAAACTAGTAGGTGTACATATGGTTATCAGTATATGACTGAAACACTAATTCATTTGAAGACAGTTTGAATTACGAATTGATTTTTAACAAAAAATCTGTTTAAATATAGAGGAATAGATAAGTGATCTGTCTTGAGTCAAATCATGAATTTCAGTAAAACTTACCTGCAGCCATTTTGTGCCATTGGATAAAATATGAAGGATGAAAAGGTATTGTGATAACAACAAAATATTTGTTCAACAGTTTTTACAGTATCAATTAGACAGTTACATTGTAGCGTAATTTTCGAAGATTTTTATTAATTTAGATTTTTTCGCCCCGTATTTTTGTTGTGTTTATGTTTACAAAGTGTTTTTGTTCAGTAAATGGAGAGAAAAATATCTGATACCGGTCTTCACTTGAAATTGGTCAATGAGCTGCTCTTCAATTGTTAGTTAGACAACGTTGATTTGGAGGTCTCTGGGTGCTGATTCGATGTTGGATGGATTCAGAGGGGATGGTCTATTCAAGAGTCCTTCAAAGTGTTCTACCTACTTGTTTTGCTGTTCTTAAATGTTAGTGATTAATTTGCCTTTCTTGCTTTTCACTGGTCGTTCTGGTTTTCGATAATTTCCAGCCAGCTTCTTTGTTGTGTCATACAATTGTTTCATGTTTCCTTCTCTTGCAGCCTTTTCCGCAGTCATTGCAAGATTTTCAATATATCTAAATTTGTCAGGTCTAATGCTTCTCTTGATGTGCTTGTTTCCTTCTGTATATTCGGTTTGTGTGTTGGCTTTCTTTGCTCTTGTTCGAGTGATTTTGATTTCTATCTTCTTCTTTCTTAAATGCCCCTTTTTTCCTTACGTCCTCCATGGTCATTCTGAATGTTTTAGTGAAACAGATATGATCGATTCGGTTCTGTGTATTGAGATGAAGTGAAACCTCTGAAGCTTTATGTATGCGTTTGTGTGGGAATATAGTGCCACCTGTAACCATTTTGTCATGGGCATATACATTCGCAAATCTATTGACGTTTTCGTTCATTTCTCCCAGTCCTTGTTGTCCCATGATGTCTTCATATCCGGTGTTGTCCATTAAAACCTTGGGGTTTAGATCTCCGATCAGAATGGTCAAGTTCTTTGTTGGGTATCACTCAGCGACTGACTGCGGCCTCCCATAGAATTGATCGTTTCCGTATCCAACGTTATCGTTGATAAATGTTTAGCTTTGAACGACATTCGTCGTAATCCCCTTTCTTCGTCTTGGGTGATGCTTCGACGATCCTCGGTTCATGAGATTCCCATAATATTATTGCTTTTTGACTTCTTTGGACAGCTTCGCTGCAACTTTTTGTGAATGAGAGGGATTTCCTTCATCATGGCTGGTGTAAAACATCCCTGTTTGTGTTAAATATGTTTTACATATTCTGAGTACTATCATGTTGCATCTTTCTATTTCCACAGAAAATTGAATAGTTCTCCCGAACTCGCACAATGCACGAACATTCTATGTACATTTTTTACTGGTTACTCTAGTTGTGAGAATGGGCTATGGCCTCATGACTTCTGACGAAACTTGACTTTTATCATGAGATGTCATAACCCATTTGAATGATGATCCTTCAATTCTCGGCACAGTATCTAGTTAGCGGTTTTTGGAGAGCTAGTTTTCGGAAGGACCAGGTTGCTAATCCCATGCCCAACGCTTCTCCTTCACGCTATTTCGGGACCGGCAGTAACCTCAGAAGGGCTGCTGGTGGAGTTATGAATCACTATAGAACGCTTTGAATACTACAAATATTTTCATGATATTGTATATTCTGTCCAGAGAATTATTTATGCAATTGAATATATACTACTTAATGGAAAAACTAGTAGTTTTATTTTCATTACAATATCTGATAGTTTATTCTGAACGCATATGCTAACAGAATAATTCTGCAATAGAAACCATAAATTGTGAATCTTCTGTGTTTTATAGTTTCTAGAAAAACAAAGCTATATCATAGGTATCTATAGATGAGATTACAGATTGAAATGAACATTTTCATTGGAAAATAAAATGTAACTCTGATTAACTTCACTACTTATTCTGGTTTAAACTTTCTGATTTTCAGTGAATCTAGCATTTCCTTTATGTGTCCATTTATTAGTTCAGATAAACATCGAGTAGTAGCTTTCTAGGTTAGTTTTTAAGTGATAATTATTTCTACTATTATTATTATTAAACGTAAAATAAATGAACAAGATTATAATGTTTATTCACATAGTTTTATGTAAATCGAATACATTCCATAGAAAAAATGTTATTATTACTGTTTATTTATGTATACCAATCAAGGTTGAATGAAGACATTTAACATTTAGTTTGACATTCATCTATTTACTTACACTGATCTATAAAACAAATAGTAAATTATTTTGCACTATCATACAATTCAAATACTTCTATTTAGTTTGTTACAAATAAGATTCGAGGGAAAATTGAACAATTGATAAATTTGCCTACTTGAATACTATCAGATATGGTAGATCAACTAAAGCATTCTTCTTCTAACATAACTATGATAAAAATTTACTAACTCCATCAAACAGAACAAAAATGAATAAACATTAGTTCCTTGAAAAGTTGCCCTCACAGAAGAAAACATTACGCTGTGTAGACAAGAAGTAATGCAACATTTATCTTTCCAAGGTGAGTGCAGTACAAGGAATCATATTTCCTTTAGTTTTTTTAACCATCGACCTATTTGATTAGCCTGTTTCTATTAAAAATTAGCTTTATTGAATATGCATGCATACTGATTTATTTCTGCTTTTTACTGTTTTGAACAGACAATGGATGCCAAAAGAATCAACAGACCTGAATTCGTTTTTACGAATCCGTAATGGCTGCTGTTATATCAAAAGGATTAAACTGTTAACAATATCCTATGAGGATTTTTTTGAGAGATGTATTTACATGAAACCAGGACACGTTTTGGATTATTAATTTCGGTATATAACTGTATAATTTGTAGTATTATTTATTTGTATTAACCTAATTTTAAGCTTTCATTTAACTTATTGACTATTAATACGCCTATTTCAATTAAAAAATTATCTTTCTGTAATTATTTCTCTAGAGCTTCATTTATAACTCAGTTGTGAGCACACTGTTCTGCTGTGTGGCTAGGTACTTACTTACTTATGCCTGTTACCCCAAATGGAGCATAGGCAGCCCACCAGTTTTCTCCAACTTAATGTATATATTCGACTGAGGTTATCCGTTACGCTTACACTGTTCAAGTAATGGGCATTATCTATAACTTCTGTGTAGTTTTAAGTTTATTCAGTGAATTAGTGCTGTAATATTCAAGTGATATTTCATCTTGACTTTCACATCATTTTGGTTTTTCATGCTAAGATATTGACTGTTCTACACTAATAAATGCATAACGGGCAATCGATAAATACGTGAATCGAAATACGTAATACAGATTGTACTCTAATATACAACACTGATTCAAAAAATGGACAGAAAAACTGTTAGAAGTGCTAGATATATAACATTCCTTGAAAATTAAAAAAATGTAATACTTAAATTGTCATTTTTAAAATCACATATATATCAAGATTATTAAAATCTAAATTTCAACCCGTCAAAAATACTTACTAATGTTATATATATTTCTTTTCTCTTAAGTTTTGTTTAATATTTGACAATAATTTATTGGTATATTTAAACGAAACAAATTCCACTTCATTATGAATTCAGATATTGTCAGATGGAATTTTCGCTAGAATTTATTATTAATAGGCTTTGTGTAATTCACGCTGTAAATCAGTACTAAACAACACCACCGTAGGTTAAGAATAAAAAAGTAATAACCATACTTGAAAAAGTAGCTTTTTATATTCAATATAAACTCACATTTTTTAATACTATCTACATTTCAACAGTATTCATTAAAATATTGAATACTGAACATATATAAAAACAAGGTATTTACACTTTACGGGATATAATTGAAAATATTCTAATATTCTACTAAAATGAGAAAAAAAAATATGGGGACTTTAGGGAAAAAATAAAAATAATAAATTTATTTTTTATTTTTTGTTCAGTTGCATACAAATGTAGTTTTTTGTTTCAAATACTACTTACTATTGAACTAATTATTTGTCCATGCGTACAGGGATAACTATTCCTTCTAATAATGCTTCTTTATCTTTCACAGCTACTGGTGTTGTAAATGAGACAATCATTCGACCAATTCTTGGATATTTAATTAAACAACTATCAGAACAACAAATACAATTACAACCAGTTGTATAAATAGTTGGTTTCAATGCAAAATTTGTATGATATGCAGTCATAGCAATCAATATTCCAGTGCCATAAATGTTACGATATGGTTTTTCACTTAATCTAAAACCGATTGATGTCAGCATTAAAACAAACATTGGAATATTTAATAAAATAAATGTCACATAATAACATCTTAAACGATAGGTTATTTTTAATTCACCATTTATTTGTTTTTTACTTAATATTTATCTGAATGAATGAAAATGCAATGATTACAGAGATTGTTGGTAAAGTGATCAGTACAACTAGATCATAATAGAAATAAGAACGACACATTGCGGTACATCGAGCTAGAATCATATCATCTTCTTCAATTGGTTCGAATGCAGCAATTGATGGTAGAGTGACAAGAAAAGAGATTATATATATACAACCTGGTAAAATACGTTTACAACGATAGAGAAATAACTTGGTGGGAGGTGGTACTTCAATTTTGTTTTTTGTTTTAACCAGAGGAGCTTTTTCTGATTTATCACTGAATGGCGGTTTATCATTGTTTACTGTAGTAGTAGTAGTAGTATTGTTAAGATCTTTAGGTATATCAGGACTTAGGCCATTATTCATGGGATACATAAAGTTGGATTGATTATATGCATTTACTTGATTAATATAATTATTCATATTCATAGCCATTCCATAACCCAATCCATAACCCATATTCATTTCATATGGATTAGGTTGCTGTCCTTGTAATAGAAGTTTTTGTTGTTGTTCTTGTCCCACTGGTCCACCATTGAACATATTGTAATTATCAGGCATAACCATCATATTTTGTGGAATCATTTGACCATATGGATTCATTAAACCATTCAAATTAGGTATCATTCCAGTTAATTGGTTAGGTGAAGCTAAAACATTGTTCTGACCAATAAATAATGGTTGTGCAGCAATTAAATTTACTCCACCAGAGTTGACAGTTTGACTTGTCGGACTGTTAACTTCATTGGTACTAGTTAGCATAGTGACTGACGATGAGACAGGTGTAGCAGCTATTGTTTCAGTTGTTCCACGAACACTTCTATTAGACCGTGATTTTCTTCTTTTATCAGTGTAACCCCATTCAGAGGTTCTTCCACGACCAACTGGTTGTTGTTTACCATAACGTTTATTTGATTTTTTTTCAGCTTTTACAGCTGGTTTTCTTGGTGTCACCAATCTTTTCGTTTGATCACGTACTTTGGTACAATGTGTTTTACAAATAAAACAAATATACCAAATGAAATTTATTATAGGTGTACGATAAACCCAATAGACAAGATGGTAGATTGTAGCTGTTCTAGTGAAGAGATCACAGAAAAAGCGTGTTTGTGCCATTCCCCAACCCAATATGAAGTATTTATGCGTAGGCGATAATGGTGTGAATAGAGGTCGTGATAGAACGCTAAATACTAATGGTAAACTTGAACAGATGAGTACTAAAAATTCTGGTCGTTTTGGAAAACTGATTCCAGTACGTCGTAAGTCAAATATATTGAGTACACCATGAGCTGTCAGACATTCTGAAAATAATGAATAATTATAGTGAAATGATATTTTATTATTTAGCATATAAATAGATTTAAAATAGGAAATTAGTTGAAAAGTTAATATTATTGATTGATAATCAAATTGTGTTCGGGGATTTGACCTTTTCCAGTTAAATTTTATGAATAACACTTCCAGCTGTAAACACCTCAGCATGAACGTAAAAGCAGTATATTTATGCATGTTTTTTAATATTCTCACAAAACTGTTGACACTAGACATAATTACTTCATTAACAATGATACATAATTATTTGACCGTTCAATAATAATTAGATGTACGTCATGATGTACTGATCTATGAAACAGACTACATTCCTCAGAAAATATTTTGTTTATATCGATGTATTCAAAAACATTGCAATGAATACAGTAGAATCTGAAAATGGCTGAAATCTAATCAAATTATTTGCATAAATATGTGAATACAGACAAATGGAAATGAATTATGTATCATGGTATTCCAAATACCAAATATGATTGAACAAATGCATAAAATATCAATTAAAATCTACCTGTGTTCTGTGAGTTTCCTAAAACACTATGTTATTAGCCATATACGTAGTATTATTTGATTTAATTTAATGTCAGATGATTGATGAAAATCTGATAGTAATAGGTTAGTGAGCTAACATTAAGGTTTTTGATGCTATTCAAATATAACAATGTAGAAAAAATAATTTTCCTAACAGATTAATTCTCCTAGTTAAATTTTCATAATTTTTATTCCATAAAACAAAAGCGCTACGTTTAGAATTTTCAAGTTATGACTAGAAGTGGAAACGAGAAAACATATTAGCTGAATATAAGCCAATAAATAAATTATGTAGTATGTTGATAAGAAACGCCGATAACTTAATTGCAGTATTGAAGTAATCTGTTCAGGGTATGTCGAAAATTTCAGATCACTTTCAAAACTGAATATCAGCAACGTGAGGATCCGTAAGTATGAATGAAAATGTAGTAGGTCAAGAATATGCCGATTGAGTTTCATCATCAATGGAGCTTTGGATTCAACAAAATTAACTTCAAGTTTTGCGGATAATACAATTGGTCTTTTCAAAATTAACGTATTTTAGATTCACGGTGATGAACAGATTGCTTTTTATGTTTATTAAAATTTCAATCAATCTCATTCTATTGTTTTTTGTATTCATTAAATAATGTGACTCATTTGTTATGCGCAAAATAATAGCCTGCTTAAACAATAAAGTCTCATTTTAACCAGTTCATTTAAAGCCATTTTCAAATTTTGCGCTGTTTCATTGTATCTCTCTCTCATTTTATGTCAAAAATAACTAGACAGCATAAATATCCAGGACTGATTGAAGTCAGAAATGTGAATGGTTGGATTTTAGCTAATTGATTTAAAGGTAACTCACCATTAAATTAGTCCGTAAGTTGTTTGGTGGTTAGAGACAGTCAGTAAGAAACCGTCAACTAATGTTCTGTACTAGTATGTATTTATCAGCAAGGCTTAACTATAATATTAAGGCAATCGACTCATCAAATGAGATTAGAAATATGAATTATCTAGCTGAACAATCTGACACGTTACTACTGAGCTATTCGGGTTGTAGCTGATTTCCTATTAGACTGAAATATTTACAGTTGATTGATCTTTGAGTGATGGAAACAGTCAGACTTGTTTGATTGAGTTATTTCTACCAAGTAGCAATCACTCTGCGGTATGAATCGCTTTCAAACAAAATGAAACTAGGAAGGCTTTTAATAAAAAACTTTCAAAATGTTTGATTGCATTTCTGTCTCTTTTTTCAAATTCTTTTAATTGATGGGAATTATATTATATAAAGTTCTTGTTAGCCTGTTGAGACGTGAATGTTTGTGAGGTTGTTTATTGTCACATGAAGTTGTGAAAGACAGCTGTATCATCCAGACAGTTTTGAACATTACCATTTATCTAATCACATTGTATTTTCCATGAAGTTCAGGTTATTATGCTTTGGTTTGACCACTATTTCCAAAACCGAATAATCAACACACTTCATAGACGTTTTTGTTAACATTTTAAGCTTATTATTGAGGGCCACTCTAAATTTAAGCACTGAAATGTACGACTGTATAATTTCAGCATATTCACGTGTTGATTAAGCTCAATATTTCTCACGTGACATGCATTTAGTCTTAAATATATTAACTACGAACTTTTGTTCGCCAGATTCAGCAGTGCAAAAGTCCTATGTTCCATTTCGTGTATGTCTTGATTTCTTTTCATTTGTTGGGCTTCAAACAGAAGAAAACATTTATGTAACCCTTCCTTATAACCTCCACAACTGTTGTCAACTGGTAACAACAGCTTGCTTTAAGTTATGGATATTATGACAATTCAATCTTGTCAACTGTGAATATATTTATCCTTTCTTTAGACATCAGTTTATCAAAGTGAATACATTTCCTTAAAACTTAAACGATATAAAACCCTACTTGAATTAAGTTTATCTAGATTTTATTTGGCATTACTACCTTAACGATTATTATTACTGAACTTGTAAAAATGACAAATTACTATTACTTTGCTCACTATATATTCTTCAACGAAAGATATATATATATATATATATATATATATATATATATATATATATATATATATTGCAATTAGAGTTATGGAGATTGTTGTTCTTACACATTTGAAATCATCAATCAATCATTCTTCGACCACCATTAGAAACCTGGAAGCACTGAACGGCCGCTTCTCCTTGGTATGAGGCTCATCAGCATTGAGCATCCACGACTCCTGCACCTGGCAGGATTCCAACCCACAACCTTTGGTCTTGCGCACGAACGCGCAGAATGCTGCCTTTATGTAATTTGATGAATAACCTCACAATTTCAATTGCCTTACAAACGTATATTAATTAACATAATATATATATATATATATACCAGTCATTAGAATTGTATTTCATTTCACTTACAATTCTAAATTGATAATACTTATGGCAACTTTTAAAATAATACATTTGTCTTGCAAATAACTAATCGCTTAACATTTAAATTTGTAACTGCAGAATCCAGTTCATATTATCTTATTATCATTAGCATAAAATAAATTAGTGTCAAGAGCAAATTCTACATAACAAGGTTAATTTTAATTTTTTTTTATAGTCATTTCACATAGTGTCTAATGTTATTGTTCGTTGAAGTTATTACAATAAGTCAGTAAAAATTCTATTAGGTTTGTGTTTTTCAAATAAAACCAAGTTAAATAAAGTTTAATATGCCAGAAACACTAACACTGGTACTGTTTACTTTCATAAAAAATAACTAATTTATCTTTCCTTTTAAGAATTAAATCAATGTGCGGTAGAGTTAGCTATTACTATTATTATTCAGGCTTAGAATTTATGTTAGATGAGTATTGTTCAATGTTCTTACTTAAGAAGTGTTTTTTTTTGCTCTTAATGCATAAGACTACAATATTTCAAAAATCTGGAGACTGTTGAAAAAAGACAACTGCAATGTAAAGTTGGTTAGAATCCTGTTATCAAGAGGAGGTTTATAGATAATATGAAATCTCTCAAAAACGTTCACCTCTGACTACCAGTCACTCAGCCATATTCACCATGAGATATGACAAAAGTCATAGTTAACGATAGGTAATGGTTTCCTGAGTTATATCGATCCTCGTAGAATGGCTCCTGAAAATTCACTGAGAATCGAAATGGAATAAGGTCAGACTCATAGTTCAAATAATTGTTGTTTGTAACTACAAATTTTATCCAACATTTCCAACACCTTTTTCCACTAAAAATATCCTATCTTACTTAACATGTCTCAAAGACACAAATCTGAAAGAAAATAAATTTCGTTTTCTTGGTATACCATTATCTCGTGAAATGTCTGTTGTTAGTTATTCTACTAATCCGTATTATATTTGAAGCATAAACAAACTTCTTCAGTAATCAATAATTTAGTGAATACACACGGATAAATTGTTAACACTTCATTTGTTTCCATAATTTACTAGGATTATGAATAAACCACTAAAATGTTTCAATACAAACACACAAAAATGGTCTTTGCATTGATTGCCATTTCATAATATCTCTTATATGAACTCTGACCTAGATATTCTGATTACAGGGCGAAATTATCAAATGCTCAACTTTGTGAGTTCTGTTCGTATCTGTGAAGGTTAATTTATATCGAAAATAGTTGAGATCAAAATCGCATACAATAAAGAGAATATAATTGAAACATTGAAGAACAAGTTAGCCGATTTTCGTCTTGTTACAAAATCAAAATGTGGGTAAATTTACGGCATTTAGGTCAAACAGAAAATTTTCACTTCATTACTCCAATATTAGGTTAGAATCGTTGTCTTTTAATTTTATTCTTGACTGTGATTCTCTGTCATCAGAAGTCAACTTGAGTGTGATCATAGACAAGTGTTGGTGTGATACTTGAAGATGAATTAAAGCAAGCATTTACTGTTATCTGATTCTCACTGTTTCTTCGGTTGATGTCGAATTGTAATTAACACTACTTTCGGTCTATTTAAGTATGAGTTTTCCAGTTACTTATGTAGCCTAACACAATAACAAGAATGTAAAGTATGGTAGTTTTGAGAGACAATGAGATTATAGATATACAGTAAGCGATACATATCAAATGTGTGTAACTTGAGATGATTCTTGGTTGTTTGTTCCTAAAGTAAGTAATTCAGATGATGGTAATAATCAATGAGATAATTTGTTTTATTACAGTATAAGATTGTTAGCAGAATTAAATTTATGTCATACTCAGCTAATTAATATCATATCAGTTTAACTGGATCTCAGTATTTTTTATGCTTCACTCTTACGTTCTTCAATGTGAAAATTAGGTCACTCAAAATTTAGTCATTTTTAAGAAACTATAGAATAATCTGATGACAAATCACCATAAAATGATTTTCTAAACAATCAGGATACTTACTTATTATTCCAAATATACTCATTGTAATCAAAAAGATACTTGCAATCCATGATGTAATCTTACTACCGGAACATGCATATAATTGAAAATCTGGTTCTGACAATTCACTACGAACACATGCAAATTCGTAATATGGTGTCGTATGATCATGATGATTGAATAGTGTTGTGAATGTATCAATTGTATCTTGCACACTTGACGTAACAATATTGTAGTATGTTTCAGTTGTTAATGTATAAGTGTGATTTATATGTATAGTCTCTGTTAATGACTGATTGAATGTACTGTTAGTTGAGGAATCTGTGTATTCAGTAGATAACATTTCTTTTAAAATATTTTCAGTTAGTTAACAATTATTCATCAACATTCATTTTGTTGTTATCAGTAGACATTAAATGTCGTTATCTAATTTGTTCAAATTTCAATTTAAAAACTAGTAACATCTTTTCTATCAAGATGGAATCGACTGCAGACTAAATGATCATAGATAAAGCAATGAAGAAACTTCATTTCCAGTTTATCATACTAAAGTAAATAACAAAATAATTTTTCTAGATTAAATCAAGGTGTGTCAAGTTGTATGTCCGTCATAAAAAAAATGCACACATGTAGGAAAAAAGGGCCTAGTTGAATACTACGGTATGTGTTCCTATGTATATCTATAGTGAAGGCTTAAAGTGCGCAATACACTATAACAATTTACACACCTATCTTGTTTCTAACAGAAGTATATAACTGTGTACATTTGTGTGTAGGTGTTTGATAAATATTATATGAAAATGTAACTGAAAATGATTTGGAGAAAACAAGAACAATTCTCTTCACTAATTGAATTATTATCCTTTATATTAAATTATCTTGGTTTACGAAAATATATGACCAACAATCTTCAAGCACATGAAATACAAAACATTATTCACAAGAATAGTGATCATTATCAGTTGACTGAGAGATCATTTTTGAATTTAGTTTTCCTGTTTATAGTTTATAATTACTGAAGATATTTTCAAATAGTGCTTCAAGCAAGTTTCATTTCAGTTTATTCTTTTCTTAAGAAATGCTCCTTTAGATATGATTAGACTTTTGTGCATGACGAATTAATTCATATCTTATTCTTGTATAGAAATATCCGTTTTTATATAGGTTAATCAATGTTCAATATGTCTAGATTATTCATAATAGTTATCCCTAAACGTTCATTAAATGCGTCATAGCTGATACTTTCCGTCATTTTCTTCATTAATTTAATACATTGGTGCTGTAAATACCTATGATTTTCTTAGAACACTGTATTTCATTGCCTAAAGTTTAGTGTATTTCTTATTTTTCACCCGGCTTGTCAGGTTACTCAACACGACACGATCATAACAGACAGATGTAGACAATTTCCGCTAGGTTGAACAGAACATGAATAAATCAAATCAGAGTACCTACTGCATCAAACGTTATCGAACAATTTCTATTGATAAAATCCTCCAGGTATAAAATGAACTGCGTTGAAGGATCTCTTGCGAGTATGCGTTAACAGCTGTTGAGCTGTATAAACAAATTATGTCAGTGACACTCACAATCAAGGTTAACAAGTGTGTTCACACAAACCTTGAATAATTAATATCGGGATGAAATGACATTTGTTTTATTACTCAATTTAACATTCATTTTATTTTCTCTGATATTCCGTGTAACATTCATTCTCAGTATGACATGTACTTACAACGATCCACTTCGTATTCTTTTGAAATGAACTTTGTCCAATATGTCATGAAGCATGAGTTTTTTGTACTAATTGTGACTAAAAACAAATGGATAAAATTATACAGAAGTATAAAAAACAATATCATAAAATTTTAACTAAACGTCAATGACCAGATAGTGCAGCAAGTTTTAGAATTTTGCTTAATTGAAAGTGAAAATTACACTTATAAGGCATTTATAAATATGTCCTTTTTAGGTGATCGATTTTCTAATGAGTGGATAACACGATATTTAGATCTTATAAACAAAATATCCACTAGTAAAAAATACATATAAGCAAATAATTACAAGTTATTAGCGGTATGAAACTCCGCCAGTAGAACCTTCGGGGCTACTGCCGGTCCCAAGCCCGGGTAAAGGAGGAGGGTTGGACATGGGGTTGGCGACCCCATTCCGTCAAAAACTAACTTCCCAAAAAAACGCTAACCAGAAAAAAGTAATTCAAACCATTTTAACTCTGCCCTGGGAGTTGGAAGAAGAATTATGACGTCGCGGAAGTCACGGAGCCGATGCCTCTTCTGACAACCAGAGTAACCATTTTTTTAGGTACATGGAACGTTCGTACATTGTGGGAGACTGGAAGACTATTTCAAGTTGCGGCAGAAATGAAAAGATACAACCTCGAGGTGCTTGGAATCAGTGAAACGCATTGGACACAGGTAGGACAACTGAGACTAGCTTCAGGGGAACTGCTGTTATACTCTGGTCATGAAGAGGAAAACGCTTCACATACACAAGGAGTTGCACTGATGCTGTCCAAACATGCACAAAAGGCACTGATAGGATGGGAATCTCATGGACCCAGAATCATTGAAGCATCCTTCAAAACAAAGAAACAGGACATTACAATGAACGTCATCCAATGTTATGCACCTACCAATGACTACAATGACGACGTTAAAGATCGATTCTACGAAAGGCTGCAGTCAATCGTCGAGAAATGTTCACCAAAGGATTTGACGATTCTTATGGGAGACCTGAATGCCAAGGTTGGAATGGACAACACTGGATATGAAGACATCATGGGACGACATGGACTGGGAGTAAGAAACGAAAATGGTGAGAGATTTGCAAACCTATGTGCCTTCAACAAACTGGTCATCGGCGGCACAATATTCCCGCACAAACGCATACACAAAGCTCAATGGATTTCACCGGATCACACTACTCAAAACCAGATTGACCATATCTGTATCAACAAAACGTTCAGAAGGACTATGGAGGATGTGAGAACCATGAGAGGAGCTGATGTAGCCTCAGATCACCATTTGCTAATCGCCAAAATGAAACTGAAACTAAAGAAGCACTGGACAACGGGACAGACAACATCGCACAAGTTTAATACGGCCTTTCTTCGGGATACTGCGAAGCTCAATGAATTCAGGATAGCCCTCACCAATAGGTTCCAGGCCTTTCAGGATCTACTCAATGGAGAGGAAGCAACATTGGAGAACAATTGGAAAGGGATTAAGGAGGCAATCACTTCAACATGTCAGGAGGTCCTTGGTCGCAAGAAGCACCATCACAAGGAATGGATCTCTGCTGATAATCTTGCAAAAATTGAAGAAAGTAGGAACAAGAAAGCAGCAATCAATGTCAGCCGAACGAGAGCGGAGAAAGTTACCGCACAAGCTGCATACACAGAAGCAAACAGGGAAGTGAAGAAGAGCATCAGAGCTGACAAACGAAAATATGTGGAAGATCTAGCAATGACGGCGGAAAAGGCTGCAAGAGAAGGAAACTTGAGACAATTGTACGAAACTACAAAAAAGCTCGCCGCGAACTATCGTAAACCAGAACGTCCAGTGAAAAGCAAGGAAGGCAAAGTAATCAGCAACACTGAACAACAGCGAAATAGGTGGGTAGAGCACTTTAAAGAACTCCTGGATCAACCAGCTCCACTGAACACACCCAACATCGAAGCAGCATCCACGGACCTCACAATTAATATTGGCGCACCTACGATTGAGGAGATCAGTATGGCCATCAGACAAATCAAGAGCGGCAAAGTAGCAGGACCAGACAACATTCCAGCAGAGGCAATGAAAGCAGATGTAGAAGCAACTGCGAAAATATTTCACATCCTCTTCAAAAAGATTTTGGAACAAGTACCATCAGATTAAAAAGAAGGATACCTGATCAAAATACCAAAGAAAGGCGATCTCAGCAAGTGTGAGAACTACAGAGGCATCACTCTTCTTTCAATACCAGGCAAAGTCTTCAACAGGGTATTGTTAAACAGAATGAAGGACTTCGTAGACGCCCAACTTCGAGATCAACAGGCCGGATTTCGTAAGGATCGATTGTGTACTGACAAAATTGCTACATTACGGATCATTGTGGAACAATCAATTGAATGGAACTCACCACTCTACATCAACTTCATCGAATACGAGAAAGTATTCGACAGCGTGGATAGGAAAACACTGTGGAGGCTTCTTCGACACTACGGTGTGCCTGAGAAAATAGTTAACATCATACGGAATTCTTATGATGGATTCAACTGCGAAATCGTGCACGGAGGACAGCTAACAGACTCTTTCGAGGTGAATACCTGTGTCAGGCAAGGTTGCTTACTCTCACCCTTTCTCTTTCTCCTGGTCATCGACTGGATTATGAAGACGTCGACGTCTGGAGGGAAGCACGGTATCAACTGGACAGTTGGGACGCAGCTGGACGATCTGGACTTCGCAGATGACTTGGCACGAGACAAGCCCTCACATGGAACCCTCAAGGCAAAAGGAAAAGAGGAAGGCCAAGGAACGAATTACGCAGAGAAATAGAGAAAGATATGAGAGGAATGAACAAACATTGGACAGAACTGGAGAAGGAAGCCCAGGACAGAGTTGGTTGGAGAAAACTGGTGGGCGGCCTATGCTCCATTGGGGGTAACAGGCGTAAGTAAGTAAGTAAGTAAGTATTAGCGGTATAAACTAGATATATGTATAGATAAATATGTATTTAGAATGAAGCGTGTAGGCGAACAATATTATTTTCAATTAGTTTGTCATCAGGCTTTACTCTAATACACATAAATATTGATTTGAAAAATGTCGAACCCATCAAGGCAATTTACAAGTCAATAAGCACAATGAAATAGTTTATGTAATTACACACAACAGGTAAAATTACAATTTGATGATAGGAAGACATGTGTATCGTTAGTGATAAGAATAGGAAAGGTACAATAAGAAAGTTTTTGACAATTGTGCAATATTACAAGTAGTGAGTTAATCTTTGATAAGACTTAAAATCATAATCATAAAGCACTGTCAGAAATACGTACGTAATAAGAAATATGTAAACAATTCGAATGTAAAGAATGTCAACGAAAAGACGTTAAGAATGACATACAAATTCAGGATGTGAAAATAATCATAAAATAAGATCGTTTATTAAGTTATATTCGGCCAGAAAAGGCATAGGGTTATCACTAATTTCTTCTGAACACATAAACTAGGGTTGAAGGTTCGAGTTCCTATAGCTTCTACTGTATGTAGGTGATGACGTCGAAGTTGGTGAACACTAGATCAATGGAAGTAACTGGCTTTTATCTACTACAGATGTAGCAAGATAGGGTTGCATATTGTCTTTACATGAACATTTCCCAATCATATTGGGAGGTGTTTACTCATTCGTGGGTTAAGTTACCTGGTCACGTACTGAGGAGGTGAATTCAGGCAACTTATCCTTTATCTGATTATATATCATCGGTCGACTAGAAAACGTTAACGCGAGATTGGTTGGGCAGAATATCCTAC